GGCTTCTGCAGTTTAGCCCGCAGCGCCACCACGTCCCAAGGTGTCACCAAACTATAATTGCTTAAAAAACAACTGTTGTCTAAGCTTTTTAAAAAATTTTAATTATACGTACTCCTCAGCTTAGAACCTTCTACAGACTGTTAGTAGCTGTTTGAACTGGGGAGAAAGGACAGGTGTGGTCATCTACCTACAGCATTTCCCTATAGGACTGGGGAGACCTGGGTTCGAATTGCCACTTGGTCGCTTCTAAAACAGGGATGAGACAAAAATAATTCCCCAGAGGTATTTCCCCAGGACAGATCCTGAAGCTGAGTGTCCAATACTTTGGCCATCTCATTCATTCATTCATTCATTCATTCATTCATTCATTCATTCATTCATTCATTCATTCATTCAATATGCCGCCCACACTACCCGAAGGTCTCTGGGCAGCTTACAACATTTAAAATACAATAAAAGGCAAAATAAAAGGGCAAAAAAATTAAAAAGCAATTAAAAATATATACTGTAAAAATTGTGATGAGACCGACAGCTGATATTATTTCAATTAAAAGCCTTTTGGAATAGGAAGGTTGGAAAAGACCCTGATGTTGGGAAAGTGTGAAGGCAAGAGGAGAAGGAGCCAAGAGGGGACGAGATGGTTGGACAGTGTCACCGAAGCAACCAACATGAATTTGACTCAACTCCGAGAGGCAATGGAGGACAGGAGGGCCTGGTGTGCTCTGGTCCATGGGGTCACGAAGAGTCGGACATGACAATGACTAAACAACAACTTCCCCAGAGGTGAAAAGACCAACTCTGCCCTCTTTCCTACTTCATTTCTCGAGGTGCTTCTTCTGCTGATCACTGCAGTGGGTGGACCAATTGTATGGAAAAAGCAGCCCTTTAACATTGCACTCCACTGAGCTGCTGCAGAATACGTATAACAGTTTTGAATGCATCTCTCTAATGATTGGTAACTCAGTGGCTGGGAAAACAAATCACCGTAGCAACCTCCATTTCTGTTGCTCAATATGAATATTGTTTGAAGAAGCGGAGAATGGAAAACCATGTGTATTTTGATACAAAGATTGTTTACAGCAGTAACAAAGGGATATTGGCTTCAAAATAGTTTTGTTTTGTACGTGTGTGCTCACTAGACTATTAAATGCCCCAAGAATGGCTTAGTACAGTAGTTTAAAATGAAGCTGTTTGATGGAAAGAGCCCTCCGAGAGTACATCCCATCCTTACAAGCCACCTTCTGTTCAGGCACTGGGGTGAAGCAGAAATCCATTTACAAGAAAAACTAAGCTAAACAAGATGGCTGGGGGGTCACACTCAGTCACGTAGCCCAGCTCTTTCACAAATTTAGACTTGTTCCCTGCAGAACATGGCTAGAAGATCTGTAACAGCCAGTTACTGCAACACGACAGCGTGCTTTGGTTTTCTTAAGGACTCAGGATAAGAAGAAAAGGTAGACAAGATAAGATTAAGACAGTGCTCCTTGCTACTGTTCCTATTCTTTTCTCATGTGGATTGCTAGTTCACAAACCAGGAGAAAGTTGGAGCTAAATGTTGGTTGAGAGCCTTCTAATAACTGAATATCTGTCTTCTGTTTCTGAATGAAATGCCCAGCATTGCTTGCAAACACATTCACTTAACTAACTTGTCCTCCAGGCGCTTCCTCCAGCTGAGAGGAGGGCGCAGTAGTATCATGTGTGACGATCAAGCTAGACGCAGGAGCTTTGCATTTTCAGGATGAAAGTTCCTTAAGCATTAAAAGATCTCTGTTTGTAATAGCACAAAGCACCTTGCCAATTGGCTGGCTTTTGTTTATAACTGATCCTTGAGAAGTAAACCTGGTTTCTTTTTCAAATCATGGTCGTTTTGAGGGAATATTGTTGCTGGAAAAAATAGTGTGCTATCAGCTTCTAATTGCAAAGCTGCAGTCGCATCAATTTGGCTTCGGAAACTGCAGGAGAGAGCAAGCGAGGAGGAGACATAAAGAAGGAAAGACATCTTCGAGTGGAATGAAGGGAAACACATCCTCTTAGCCTCCGTGCAGAGCCTGATTCTACATTTGTAAATTAAGGAACCGTTACAAGAATGACTCATATGAGAGGCTAGTGGAGACTTATCCCGCAGTGGAAAAGTGAGGCACCCTTGTGCTCAGACTACAAGCCAACAGTAACTTAAGTCTGCAACATGGCCTCTCTCATCCAAAGGAAATTAAGGGTGTGATTGCACAGGGACATGGATTACAATTCAGACCACTTCTGGAGTGTTCCAGTGCAAGCAATTTCCCAGTGATCATGTGGCTGGGGAGATGTACTCCAGGCCAACGCCAATCCATGCCTGTAAGGCTTACATTTGGGGGGTGGTAGGCTGGAGTGATTCCCCAGCAGACGGAAGGGTCACTTTAAGGGAGATTTCCCACCGGAAATAAATCCTTGCTGGTGTTATCAGGCATGCACCTTTGCAGCCGTGGGATTGTCCCTTACATTTAGTACTGATAGGAACTTCTCTTTGCTTAACGAAATGGGAAATGTAATGACAGTGATGCAGCACAACTACATAACTATGCAGCCATATTGATTCAAGCAGCTCAGAAGACGTTCAGCACTTTGCTTCCAGTAATCTGTAAATTGCCTGTGAGCTAGAAAATCTTGTTTTTAATTCTCGTCACAGCTGTGAACTGAGAGTGTCCGGAATAGATTCAGAACCCTCTGGAATTTGCAGGACAAAGGGGATCCTCAGAGGACACATTAACGGGGTTAGCACACCCCAGGAATAGTTAGGTTTCACCACATTGTCTTAGATTCTAACCAGCTTTCTTTCGGTGTTTTAAAAATTGGTTATTCTGCAAAAAAAATTTTAAAAGTATCTCCTAGATGCAAGATAAATCTGTTGGTCCATGTTTTGTAATGGTATCTACTTTTCCACAGCTGCCTAGAGAGAAGTGGCCATTAGAGATGAGATTTTCGTGTTACCACAAATGGAAAATAACACGAAAGACACTATCACCTTCACTTTATCTCCTTCATTTCCGAAAGAAAGGCTTTGAATTCTGAATTGTTTATTTTATTTAGCTCTTTTTGCTCCCAAAGCAGGTTTTTGTTTTCTGATCCTGGGGGCTTCTCCTTTTTTCAAGCCAGAATGATTTCAACTGACTTTTCCCTATAGGATTGGTTGGTTCCTTCTTGTAAAGCTGGTGTGTGTGTGGGAGGGGGTATCATTTTGAAGATGTAGACAGTGGGTGTTAATGTTCAGGACCACAGGAACACCCACTCCCGCATTCTTTCCCCCAATCATCCTTCAATTTTGTTTAATATTTTGCATATATGAGATTAGTGTTAGATAAGAGAAAATACAGTGTTAGATAAGAGACAAAAAACAACCCAAACAAAATAAAAGATAATCATGTGGTATTTCTTTACATGTTTTTCTAAATGCTGCCACCTTTTCTGGAACACTGTGCAACCCTTTCAAAACCAAGCAGCTTAACAGTGACATAAAAGGATCAGCAGAGGTGGGATCAGGGGAAGGAAGGGTGGGCTATGGACTGAAGTGAGGATCCCATCGTACCGAGTGTGAACACTAAACTCCCAAATCAATCTGCAACCCCAGGTTGATCACTGATGGCAAACTCAGTTGTGATATAGGTTGTGAATCAAATCTTAGCAAATTGCTCCAATTTAGCTTGCCAGTGTACTCACAGCCTCAGACAGAATCAAACACGTTCAGTGCAGTGTGGTGCTTCATTATTGTACTTTTCGCTGCATGACAGAACTTAAAACTTTCATTTTCAGGGCTAAAACTCTCAGAGTCCGGCAGCTAGCACGGACACTAGCTCAGGGATTCTGGAACGGTCATTCAACGAAACATCCAATTTCTTCATTTCTACATACAATGTTGATAGGTAGTGCTTACCATTTCTGTCAGAAAATGGGATGATTGGACAAAGACGGATACATCCTGGAAAGAAAACAAAGAGAGGCTGAAGATGTGATCCCGTAAGCTGCCAGAAAGAATGGCTGCAAAAATGTGGTAGCTTTCTTCCTTTTTTTTAACCCCCTAGCAAACTGAAGCACCTCATTATTTCCAAAAAGGATAACATCCGTGGCACATGGAACGTGGCCTCGGTCCCAGTTGGAAGTGTTTTCAAAGTTGGTGTTTGGAATCCACCGTTTGTATACAGCACCAGAAGCTCCTGAGGAAGAGAAATACAAAATATAATATCAGTGATACAGTACTTGTTTGGGATGTTACAAGTTGCAGCAAAAAGATAGGCCTGATCAAGATTCGTATGTTCTTCACTGAATTAAGACACTGATGTAAACTGTACTCCTTGGCTATTCTCTTAGGCCAAACACATGTTTTGTATGAAACTACTCGGGAGGAAAAAGCAAATACTGTAATGGTATACATCTGACGTTTCACCACAAGACAGAGAATATGACTTCAGTTGCTTCTGCTCCAATTACAGACATCTGGCATATCCCTTACCCCCAAATACAGTGTCAAGGCTTTACTCCCTTTCTATTTGTTGTAGTTTAACATATTTTTCAGCAGCTGTACTGTTTTGCATGCTCAGAGAGCATCCTCCCCAGTTGTCTGATTGTCAGAACAAGGTAAAGGTAAAGGTTCCCCTTGACAATTTTTGTCCAGTCGTGTCCGACTCTAGGGGGCGGCGCTCATCCCGCTCTTCAAGCCATAGAGCCAGAGTTTGTTCGAAGACAATCTTTCCGTGGTCACATGGCCAGTGTGCATCTGATTGTCAGAACAAATCACAGCACAAGCATACTTAATGGTATAAAATTGCCCACAACTTTATTGATGACAGCTGTATCAAGTTGGCATAACATCAAGGCCAAATCCTTCCGTCAGCCAAGCTTACTGTAGCTTTTTTCCTTTTTTTTACCCCCTAGCAAACTGAAGCACCTCATTATTTCCAAAAAGGATGACATCCGTGGCACATGGAACGTGGCCTCGGTCCCAGTTGGAAGTGTTTTCAAAGTTGGTGTTTGGAATCCACCGTTTGTACACAGCACCTGAAGCTCCTGAGGAAGAGAAATACAAAATATAATATCAGTGATACAGTACTTGTTTGGGATGTTACAAGTTGCAGCAAAAAGATAGGCCTGATCAAGATTCGTATGTTCTTCACTGAATTAAGACACTGATGTAAACTGTACTCCTTGGCTATTCTCTTAGGCCAAACACATGTTTTGTATGAAACTACTCGGGAGGAAAAAGCAAATACTGTAATGGTATACATCTGACGTTTCACCACAAGACAGAGAATATGACTTCAGTTGCTTCTGCTCCAATTACAGACATCTGGCATATCCCTTACCCCCAAATACAGTGTCAAGGCTTTACTCCCTTTCTATTTGTTGTAGTTTAACATATTTTTCAGCAGCTGTACTGTTTTGCATGCTCAGAGAGCATCCTCCCCAGTCATCTGATTGTCAGAACAAATCACAGCACAAGCATACTTAATGGTATAAAATTGCCCACAACTTTATTGATGACAGCTGTATCAAGTTGGCATAACATCAAGGCCAAATCCTTCCGTCAGCCAAGCTTACTGCCAACAGATGATGCCACCCACTGACCCCAGGTGGTGGGAAAATATCTGGAATGACAGGGATCGGGGCACCACTTGGCCACTCATTGCATCCCCTGACAATTCGGGCAAGTGCCTGCCTGGCTAGCCTCCAAGCCAGGTGAGCCCTGAAAGTCTTCACTCCAAGGTTCCTTAAGAATATAGGTCTGCTGGCTCCCACTCCACCAAATGAAACCAGCACAAAGCTCCATACCGCTAATGCCCCAAATTGTAAAAAGATGCAGTTCATCCTCTTCCCACTATGTTTCTCCATGAGCTACTGGAGTCCATATCTTTACACAGGGAGGAAGGATGAGGCTGCCCTGAAACTGACTAACCTTGAGCCAAGTAGGAGCAGCACTATTATACTGCAGGATGGACCAGAGTAAAGACTATCTCCCTCTGGTCTTTAACTACAAGTCTCACCTCCATGCCAGCCATTTATCACTTTGATTTGGTGGACAGGCACTTCATCTCATGGAGGCCTTTGGGAGGTGCAGAGTCCCCCAGAAATGTTATTCATCCCCTACTCACTGGCCATCAGTGGATCCTAGGCGAGTTGGAGGGTCTCTACTTATGATTGAATGCTTCCTGCCTGTCCTATTGTGTTCAAGCAATTTCACTTCAGTTTTACAGCATTTTCAGTGACATAGGCACTGCTTTTAAGTAACATGCAATACTGCATCATCATCATCATCATCATTTTGGGACACATTGAGAAGCTTGGACAAAATGCTATTTTGACTGTAACTCTTTTTTCTTTTTTTCTTTTTTTTTCTTTTTTCTTTTTTGGATTTGGGACTCATTGAGAAGCTTGGCAGTGGGACGTGGTGGCGCTGTGGGCTAAACCGCAGAAGCCTGTGCTGCAGGGTCAGAAGACCAGCAGTCATAAGATCAAATCCACGTGACGGAGTGAGCGCCCGTCGCTTGTCCCAGCTCCCGCCAACCTAGCGGTTCGAAAGCATGCAAATGCAAGTAGATAAATAGGGACCACCTCGGTGGGAAGGTAACAGCGTTCCGTGTCTAAGTCGCACTGGCCATGTGACCACGGAAGATTGTCTTCGGACAAAACGCTGGCTCTATGGCTTGGAAACGGGGATGAGCACCGCCCCCTAGAGTCGAACACGACTGGACAAAATTTGTCAAGGGGAACCTTTACCTTTACCTGAGACGCTTGGACGAAATGCTATTTTGACTGTAACTCTTTTTTCTTTTTTTCTTTTTTTTTCTTTTTTCTTTTTTGGATTTTCCGAAGAGCTTATAATAAAAGAGTGTTTTGGGATTAGGGGGTGATTAGCTTCAAATTTGGTGCTAGAGCAATGGTCCCCAACCTTGGGTAACCGGGAGTTGCGGTCCAAGAACACCTGGGTTACCCAAGGTTGGGAACCCCTGTGCTGGAGGAGAGCTCTGCAGATATCATGGGCCTGTGATGAAGACAAACAAGTGGATCCAAAGCCTAAATTCTCTCTAGCAGCAAAAATTATGAAACTAAGACTGTCATGCTTCGGGCATATCATGACAAGATGAGACTCGTTGTAAAGACATAATGTTATTTAAAAAAATGTAGAGCATTGCAGAAAAAGGAAAGCCTGTGCTGGAGGAGAGCTCTGCAGATATCATGGGCCTGTGATGAAGACAAACAAGTGGATCCAAAGCCTAAATTCTCTCTAGCAGCAAAAATTATGAAACTAAGACTGTCATGCTTCGGGCATATCATGACAAGATGAGACTCGTTGTAAAGACATAATGTTATTTAAAAAAATGTAGAGCATTGCAGAAAAAGGAAAGTCAAGTATGAGATGAATGGACTCCATAAAGGAAGCCACAGCTTAGAGTTTGCATGAGCAAAGCAGTCAGTTATAGACCATTTTGGAGGTCACTCATTCATAACATCACGTGTGACTTAACAGCACATAGGAAAGTTAAGCAACACAAGAGTCCAGGTTGCCCTACAATGCAGTATTGTTTGCTTCTCGAAAAACTAGAAGTAGGTAATAACATATTGCCAGAGAATGGCTTCAGGTATAATGTGAGACCTCCAACAAGAAGGTTCACACGTAATGCTTGATTCTGCTTCATTATCCCAAAAGGGGACCATGCAAGGTGAATGCACAAGTTGACTCTATGGAAAGAGGAAGGATGCAGCCAGTTGCACGTCCTCTTTCCCCAGTTCTCTATCACTGTTGTTCTCAACTGACAGCCCATATATCACAGGCAAGATGCAGAAATGGACAAGATAGGAAACCGGATGCTGATAACAATCACTCTCCTTCGATCTCTTTCAGGCAGAATTAATATTTATTCATTCTACTAATGGAATTATTGTTCTTGCTGATGTAAGTTTACTCACAACAATAGTGCTGCAATTTTAATGCTGTTCAAACTTATCTTAAATAAGAAATCTAAAAACAGAAAGCTAAGGGACCATGTGGTTCTTTATGAACCTGTCCAGATGTCAAGATCCTTTGGAGTCTTGTTAAGTCTTGTTAAGAATATCAACAGCTGCAGGGGCCTGCCTGACAGGCACGTGGAACAGGACTTTGCCCTTTGTGGCTTCCAGACTGTGAAACACACTCACCTCAAAGGTACAAATAGTTCCCTCATTCACTGCTTGTAAGAAGAATGTGGAAACACGTATTTTTAAGCTGCCTTGTGTTGCTGTTTAATTTCCTGTGATTTAAAATACTGCAGACTTGCTGGTTTTGTAGTTTTAATGGCCGTGTTTCATAGCATTTTGTTTTAATGAATATGCTACAGTTGAATGTATTCGTACATGTTGCTTTATTATGTTTTATTATCGTAAGCCACCTGGACCACTATCTAGTAATGGTGCTAAAAACCCAGAGTAGATCTTTGGTCTAGATGGGTGGGATAGAAATCCAATAAATAAATAAATAAAACTAAATAAATAGTAATGACCTATAAAGAAAAACTGAAAGAACTGGGCATGTTTAGCCACGAGAAAAGAGGACTGAGGGGAGATACAATAGCACTTTTGAAATACTTGAAAGGTAGTTGTATAGAAAAGGGGCAGGATCTGTTCTCAATCATCCCAGAGTGCAGGATATGTAATAATGGGCTCAAGCTACAGGAAGCCAGATTTCAGCTGAATATCAGAAAACACTTTGTAACTGTTAGAGCAGTATGACAATGGAACCAATTACCTCAGGAGGTGGTGAGTGCTCCAATGCTGGAGGCATTCCAGATCTGTCAGATCTGCTTTTATTTGGATTCCTGTACCAAGAAGGGGGTTGGACTCAATATAAGCCCATTCTAACTCAATTATTCTAAACTAATTGATAATCCATGTAATGGAAATGTCAATTAGAGATGTGATTAAAAAATAACATTATAATACCAATACATATATCAATATCCTTTTCAGGGGAAAAAAGTAGGCTTTTGGATTTTGTGGTACTTAGATTCATTGACAGAGTGATTAGTGAGATACAAGAAATGAAGGATTGAGAACTATCATATCAGAAGCCACTTCCATTCTTTGAAGAGGACAGAACAAATAAATTGTATATAAAATTCTGCTTTGGAGGGCATCCAAAGTATTTTGTACTCATCATTATGAAGGGCTGTCGATTGCCATTATTTTAACATAAATTGCTCCTGCTATAGGTGGAATGTGGTTCTGATTTCACTGGAGTGCCCATTTAGTCCTCCATAAACCAAATCAAGTGAGAAAGCTTTCTGCACCCTGCGGTTTTAAGATCTCCAGTGAAGAAGGGACACATGGCTTAATTCTTTTAGTGACTGCTGAAAGAAATCACTAAATTATACCATTCCTCACAGGAGAGTGAGGAAGATACTTTAATTGGCAGATGTTGAAAGTAATAGCAAGGTATTGGAAGAATACCAGCACTGTGAGCCACCCTCCACATCTCTCCCCAGTTAGCTTGGCTGCTGCCTCCAGAGTGTGTTGGAGGACAATGTCCCATCACCCAGGCTGAGGACAGATTCAACTCCCATTCTTATTTGGTTTTTTGTTTTGTTTTTGTTTTTTGTTTTTTGTTTTGTTGTTGTTGGTTTTTTTTTTTTACTCGGAATGCGATGGGGTGCCAATCATGGTCAGAAGAACAATTGGTAAAGCATCCCCAAGGTTTTTATCACTTAGACCTTGCCTGTTCAGGGGGCAATTACTGCATAGACAGGAACTATATATGTAGTGTTTACATTTCTATAGACTAGAGATAAGTACAAACCGGAAAAATGATGAATCGGGCTGGTTCATGGTTTATGGCTAACAACCAACCACTCTGAATCCTGGGAAAAATGAACTGGTTTGCAGTTTGTTTTTCCAATTCATGCCTCGCGAGAGGAGAACCTACCACCTCTGTCCCCGTTGCTGCCCACCTGCCGCCTTTCCCACTACTCCTGTTGCCTCCCTACCTGGTCCTCCTGCCTCTTCCTCCTCCTCTGCTGCCACCACCATCTTCAGAGACT